TGTCGGCTCTCGGTTGTCACGTCAATCACGGCGCGACGTCGGCCCAACCTCCGTTAGCCGACCCTTATTTCAAGACAACTTGATGCCACCGTCGGACCAAGATTGAGCCAACGTTGGCAGTATGTCGGCTCTCGGTTGTCACGTCAATCACGGCGCGACGTCGGCCCAACCTCCGTTAGCCGACCCTTATTTCAAGACAACTTGATGCCACCGTCGGACCAAGATTGAGCCAACGTTGGCAGTATGTCGGCTCTCGGTTGTCACGTCAATCACGGCGCGACGTCGGCCCAACCTCCGTTAGCCGACCCTTATTTCAAGACAACTTGATGCCACCGTCGGACCAAGATTGAGCCAACGTTGGCAGTATGTCGGCTCTCGGTTGTCACGTCAATCACGGCGCGACGTCGGCCCAACCTCCGTTAGCCGACCCTTATTTCAAGACAACTTGATGCCACCGTCGGACCAAGATTGAGCCAACGTTGGCAGTATGTCGGCTCTCGGTTGTCACGTCAATCACGGCGCGACGTCGGCCCAACCTCCGTTAGCCGACCCTTATTTCAAGACAACTTGATGCCACCGTCGGACCAAGATTGAGCCAACGTTGGCAGTATGTCGGCTCTCGGTTGTCACGTCAATCACGGCGCGACGTCGGCCCAACCTCCGTTAGCCGACCCTTATTTCAAGACAACTTGATGCCACCGTCGGACCAAGATTGAGCCAACGTTGGCAGTATGTCGGCTCTCGGTTGTCACGTCAATCACGGCGCGACGTCGGCCCAACCTCCGTTAGCCGACCCTTATTTCAAGACAACTTGATGCCACCGTCGGACCAAGATTGAGCCAACGTTGGCAGTATGTCGGCTCTCGGTTGTCACGTCAATCACGGCGCGACGTCGGCCCAACCTCCGTTAGCCGACCCTTATTTCAAGACAACTTGATGCCACCGTCGGACCAAGATTGAGCCAACGTTGGCAGTATGTCGGCTCTCGGTTGTCACGTCAATCACGGCGCGACGTCGGCCCAACCTCCGTTAGCCGACCCTTATTTCAAGACAACTTGATGCCACCGTCGGACCAAGATTGAGCCAACGTTGGCAGTATGTCGGCTCTCGGTTGTCACGTCAATCACGGCGCGACGTCGGCCCAACCTCCGTTAGCCGACCCTTATTTCAAGACAACTTGATGCCACCGTCGGACCAAGATTGAGCCAACGTTGGCAGTATGTCGGCTCTCGGTTGTCACGTCAATCACGGCGCGACGTCGGCCCAACCTCCGTTAGCCGACCCTTATTTCAAGACAACTTGATGCCACCGTCGGACCAAGATTGAGCCAACGTTGGCAGTATGTCGGCTCTCGGTTGTCACGTCAATCACGGCGCGACGTCGGCCCAACCTCCGTTAGCCGACCCTTATTTCAAGACAACTTGATGCCACCGTCGGACCAAGATTGAGCCAACGTTGGCAGTATGTCGGCTCTCGGTTGTCACGTCAATCACGGCGCGACGTCGGCCCAACCTCCGTTAGCCGACCCTTATTTCAAGACAACTTGATGCCACCGTCGGACCAAGATTGAGCCAACGTTGGCAGTATGTCGGCTCTCGGTTGTCACGTCAATCACGGCGCGACGTCGGCCCAACCTCCGTTAGCCGACCCTTATTTCAAGACAACTTGATGCCACCGTCGGACCAAGATTGAGCCAACGTTGGCAGTATGTCGGCTCTCGGTTGTCACGTCAATCACGGCGCGACGTCGGCCCAACCTCCGTTAGCCGACCCTTATTTCAAGACAACTTGATGCCACCGTCGGACCAAGATTGAGCCAACGTTGGCAGTATGTCGGCTCTCGGTTGTCACGTCAATCACGGCGCGACGTCGGCCCAACCTCCGTTAGCCGACCCTTATTTCAAGACAACTTGATGCCACCGTCGGACCAAGATTGAGCCAACGTTGGCAGTATGTCGGCTCTCGGTTGTCACGTCAATCACGGCGCGACGTCGGCCCAACCTCCGTTAGCCGACCCTTATTTCAAGACAACTTGATGCCACCGTCGGACCAAGATTGAGCCAACGTTGGCAGTATGTCGGCTCTCGGTTGTCACGTCAATCACGGCGCGACGTCGGCCCAACCTCCGTTAGCCGACCCTTATTTCAAGACAACTTGATGCCACCGTCGGACCAAGATTGAGCCAACGTTGGCAGTATGTCGGCTCTCGGTTGTCACGTCAATCACGGCGCGACGTCGGCCCAACCTCCGTTAGCCGACCCTTATTTCAAGACAACTTGATGCCACCGTCGGACCAAGATTGAGCCAACGTTGGCAGTATGTCGGCTCTCGGTTGTCACGTCAATCACGGCGCGACGTCGGCCCAACCTCCGTTAGCCGACCCTTATTTCAAGACAACTTGATGCCACCGTCGGACCAAGATTGAGCCAACGTTGGCAGTATGTCGGCTCTCGGTTGTCACGTCAATCACGGCGCGACGTCGGCCCAACCTCCGTTAGCCGACCCTTATTTCAAGACAACTTGATGCCACCGTCGGACCAAGATTGAGCCAACGTTGGCAGTATGTCGGCTCTCGGTTGTCACGTCAATCACGGCGCGACGTCGGCCCAACCTCCGTTAGCCGACCCTTATTTCAAGACAACTTGATGCCACCGTCGGACCAAGATTGAGCCAACGTTGGCAGTATGTCGGCTCTCGGTTGTCACGTCAATCACGGCGCGACGTCGGCCCAACCTCCGTTAGCCGACCCTTATTTCAAGACAACTTGATGCCACCGTCGGACCAAGATTGAGCCAACGTTGGCAGTATGTCGGCTCTCGGTTGTCACGTCAATCACGGCGCGACGTCGGCCCAACCTCCGTTAGCCGACCCTTATTTCAAGACAACTTGATGCCACCGTCGGACCAAGATTGAGCCAACGTTGGCAGTATGTCGGCTCTCGGTTGTCACGTCAATCACGGCGCGACGTCGGCCCAACCTCCGTTAGCCGACCCTTATTTCAAGACAACTTGATGCCACCGTCGGACCAAGATTGAGCCAACGTTGGCAGTATGTCGGCTCTCGGTTGTCACGTCAATCACGGCGCGACGTCGGCCCAACCTCCGTTAGCCGACCCTTATTTCAAGACAACTTGATGCCACCGTCGGACCAAGATTGAGCCAACGTTGGCAGTATGTCGGCACTCGGTTGTCACGCCAATCACGTCGCGACGTCGTCTTAACGTACGTTAGCCTACTCATTTTTATTTCTATTGACCATCACATTCAGATAATAACATAAAAATCATTGTTTTAAATAAAAATTGGTTATTATTAAAAGTTTTAAACATGTATATATATATATATATATA